CTTTTACATTATTTGAAATCAGAAGTCTTTCAAAGAAGGAAAATAATAATTTATATCACTTAAAGAATATGTACTACATGGGCTAAAAGTGTCGGGCCTAACACATAGATGGCGCCAGTCTTATCGCATTTACCGCTTTTTCAGTCAGTACTAACCTTTGAAAGGAAGCTGTTGAAATTTCATGATATTCCACTCGAAAGTTTGTGAGTTATTGTTCTAAGAGTGACACTACTTTTGTTATTTCCGAAACAATGGATCAAAAACAATTCCTTGTTTTAATTTTACACTGCTACTTAATAAAAAAAGCCGTTCAAGCGAAGCAATGGCTTGAAAAGTGTAATAAGAACTCCGCAACATCAGGAACAACAATCAAACGTTGGTTTACTGACATCAAACGTGATCGTATAGACACTGATGAACGCAGTGGACGGCCAAAGAGGCAGTAACTCCAGAAAACATAAAAAAATCCACAAAATCGTTTTGAATGATCAAAAAGTGGAGTTGCATGAGTTACCTGACATTTTGAAGACTTCTTTTGCTACCTATTCAAATCTGCTCATGAACCGATGAGCTACGAAGGAAGAGAGTGGGTTTTCCATTGCTTGCCTTCATGCTGTTTGAAGAAAAAGTTGTTGAACTGGAAACAATTCTGTTCCATGCAAATTTTTTTTGTATCAAACAATATGAAACAAATTTTTAAAATGTTATTCAGGCTGGATGAAATATAATTATTCATTTAGAGTGAAAAAGGAAGAAGTAGGTTTAACCTACTTCAATAACGTTCTACAAAGCTGTTTTGAAAAATTATTTAATTTCTAATAAATGATGTTTCTGAAGATTTAGATGCCACTCAATATTTTCAAAAAAGGCAGGTGATGCTAAGTACCGACTGAAGTTTTTGAACTTTTCTTTAAATGAACTGTCATGGTTCCGGACAAACATCATCAAAGCTTCCTAATTTCAAAATGAAAGTCCGCAAAGAACACGGTTAATCCATCTGAATTTTCCAAAAATAAACATTCCAACGTCGAAATTTTCTTAAGAAACAATTAATAATTTATCAACCAGAATGTGGTACTTTCTTAATCGAGAATTGAATTGAAAGAAATGTATATTTTTGTGAATTCCACACATTACGAACTCAGCAACTGAGCGCAATAATAAAAATCTGTGAAGTTTCAAGTTAGGTTAGGTTGAGGTTGATTATTCTTCAAAGTATACTCAATCGTATGTGATGTTTAGTACAAGGGGAGAAAAGTATTACTTCAATGACTGACAATATCTGTTGCAATGTATTATAAAAAGTTTTTATGGGAACTGATAAATAAACACATGAAATCATTAACAGACATTTTTATTTGGATTATCTTACCAAATACTCTTGACAAAATAGTTAAGGGTTTCATATCTGTAAACAAGTTGATTCATTGAAGTAGAATATAGTTATCACTGTAATACATGTTTAAACAACTGGTGTAAACATTTCTTCGCCGCCAAGACCCCTCAAAATATTTTGGGCCGTCAAAAGTGACATGGCATCCCTGGTTTGTCTGGTTGCACTTCCCAAATGTGGGAGCAATACTAGAAAAAAATTTAAATGTTTCGATATGTAGTTACTCAAGATAATTCGATGTTCTCAAGCCCTATTTCAAAAAGCTTATTTGTTTGAATTGAAGAGGAAAATCATTTTGCAACTGATATATTACGAAAATTTTGCCTTTCCGGATTCTTAGAAAACAAAATGAATTTCTTTAAAATCGTGTTTTTTAGTTTTTCAAACTATATTTATTTTTCATTTTTCAATTTCGTATGCAACGAAAGCGTGTTTTTTAGTCTTTTTAATTGCCACTGTGGTACACTATGCACATATGGCAGGTCAATAACTTAAAACATACATAGAATATGTTTTTATCCAAACTTTGGGATCAATCAGCCGTATATTGTTTAGAAAAATGACCATTGATATTTTCCGATTCCGGAGAGGGAGCCTGAAAGTCAGCTACCAAGCCCAAGGCAGCAGGCGCACGTGTTAATGAAAAAATAATAATTTTTCAAATGAAGAAATACATGTAAAGTGAGTTCGAATTAAATTAAGGAGGTTACGTACAGCGCCATCTGCCCGCGAATAGACCAAGCAATAATGTCCATAGTTACGTACAGCGCCATCTGCCCGCGAATAGATCAAGCAATAATGTCCATAGTTAGGTACAGCGCCATCTGCCCGCGAATAGATCAAGAAATATCAATAAGGTTACGTAAAGCGCCATCTGCCCGCGAATAGATCAAGCAATAATGTCCATAGTTACGTACAGCGCCATCTGCCCGCGAATAGATCAAGAAATATTAAGTAGGTTACGTAAAGCGCCATCTGCCCGCGAATAGATCAACCAATAATGTCGATAATTCTGTCAAATACAGATCCCGAGCAACAAACAAACAAACATGCACAGAGGTGAAGCTAATAAAATAATAATATAAAAAAGCGTGTTAAAAATAGAGATAAAATTGAAATGAGGATAGGAACTTGTTAAAATTTATGTATATGGGACCTATATCAGGCATATCTCATCTCAAACAATTCATTATAAATATTCGAGTTTATATAATCAGTACCAATAAAATTGAATTCTGTTTACTCAACAAATTATAGACGAGCAACTCGCCTAAATTGAAGTATTTATCTCACTGAATAAATAATCTTAAAAAGATATCAAAGAGTACTCACCGAGATTAGGCAACGTGAGTAATTCGTGATTGGAAGGTAATGGTTCAGGTGTCATTACATCCAAACCAGCGGCAAAAATGGTTTCGTTTCTTAAAGCTTGGATCAAAGCCGGTTGGTCCACTACTTGTCCTCTGCTGATGTTGACGAATACTGCAGTTTTCTTCATTTTCGAAAAGAAGTCCTCGTTACACATGCCTTCCGTTTCATTTGTTAAGGGGACTGCCATTATCACGAAATCACTTTCTCTCGTTAGTGTATCCAAGGATACAAACTTTGCTCCTAATTCTTTTCCTGGACAAACAAAATAGATTAATACTTGATATTAGTTATCTTTTTGAATTGGAACTTCGGCACTTCTGTATTATTACTACCCTTCGTTCTATATATAAACGATTTTCATGGGTTTGTCAGAGCTATTAGTACCTATATATCATTAGGCTGACGATACAGTTATACCTGTCTCTCAGTTTCAGTGACATTGCAACTGCTGAAGAAAACAAACATAAATCTTCAGACCATGTTTAATGTTTCAAGTGCTCGCAACTTCAGCCCACTCGGCTTTGGAAAAGCGAAGATCAGGTGCTTTGCTATGCCAAGGTCTTCAATGTTGTTGAAGAAGACCCCATACATTGGCTTATCCTTGTCGATCACCTCGATCAATAATTCAAGTTCGTTAGCCGCTCGACCAGCTGCCCTGAACAGAAATACGTCAATTCCTGCTCTCTCATGGTCGCGGGCCATGACTTCACAGGCTTCAACCATTACCATTCTGTCATGCAGACACTCCAAATTAGAAAGTCCAAGGTCTGTGATATTCATTGTTTATGGATTGATCTGGTGTACCTGGACCTTATAAGTTATCGCTAATGTAGCCCCTGAAATGGCAGGCAAACTTCCACAATATATGCCATCCATAAGGGATACCATAGATAAAAAAAAACTCTTCTGCCTTCTACTGGTAGACATTGAATAAACCAGATAAACAATAAAATTAACAAGAAGGACCGCAGGAAAAAAATTCGTCAAGAGGCGTATCTGTGGAAGATGCAAAAAAGAAACTCAGAGAGAGAGACAAGAATCCATCCACAGAAAAAATAAGAATGACAAGAACAAAGTGATCTGAACATTGAGTGAGAGCTAGTAGCCTGAATATAGCAGTTATCTTCCATCCTGAGCTAAAAAATAAACAAACGAATAACAAAAATATCACCAAAAAGTTAAGAATGCGTTTCATTGGGAGGAATTTCCTCATGGGGGTAGAGAACTGGCTTCTCATCAAGAAAAAACTGTAATAGTCTTTAGTTTCTACATTGTAAACACCTGCATTCAACTTGAATTGTGAAAAATTGTAAGTGGGTGTTTGAATATGCCTCTGAATGAATTAATGTTTCTGAATTTGTGAAAGAGTGAGTTTCCTCACCTTCTGGTTTTTCCCGGTGGCCAGTGTAAAGAAACTCTTTCACATCGAATCCTTTCAATCTCCTCACAATTGTTTGTCCTATACCTCCTAATCCTACGATTCCAACTGTAGAATTAACTATATCTTTTCCCAGCATCCATTCTGAATGAGATTTCCATTGGTCACTGTAATTCGAAATATGTATCAAATATAATTAATTCAAGAACAACGGTAGTAGAAAAGATATTCAGGTATTCTATGAAAATTTATGAAAAATGAGAACCCTCAAAAATCGTAAAAAATTATATTGGCAAAATAAATTCGAATAAAGTGAACCTCACCATCACTGAGTGTTATCAGAAGCCCACAGAGCTTTGTCAGGTGCCACATAACTTCTAGAAAGTTTGGCATTTTTCACCATAACCTTCTACAAAACATTATGTTATTTTTTAAGGGATCTGATCTCTTTGTACCTCTCTCAACATCTAACTTTTAAGCGTCTTCAACATTCGGACTTAGCAAAGTTTTTCAAAATGTGATGGTCTCACCTTTTAACGTGCGAAATTGAAAAAACAACGATCATCAGAAACACTCACTTCTCAATTTTCAATCTTCCTTCGTGAAGCCTTCTAGAAGCTGCTAGAGAGAGGAGAACTGCCACATCAGCCACGGCATCGTTCAACACGTTCGGGGTATTTCCCAGTTTAATACCACGTTTTCTCAATTCCTCTAAATCTATGTGATTGTAACCAGCAGACATTGTGCCGATAACTTTCATTTGGCTCCCTGTAAAATAGATAATCAACGAAATGTTGAAGGTATTTTCTCTATATTCCATTTTTAATTTCATCCCTTCATCCCTTCAATCAAATCAGAAAAAATACAAGACATTCGTGAGTGGATAATTTTAAAACACACGTCATAAAAGGTAAGAATATTCCTCTATAATTTTGAGAAATCTACTCTATCAGAAAACCATGTACCACGTAAAGGCGTAAAAAATTGGATAAAACAAGAAAGCTCTGACCACATGATCATGCCAAGTTTCAATATCAATTACCGAAAGCTGCAGGAAGGCAGAATACGATTTCTTATTCGTAGGTATATATCGAAACCAATCAGTAGTAATATTTGTATTTGTGTTGTTCGGGGTGTATTCAGTTGAACCTCGAAGCGATGGGCAGCTGTGTTTTGCCGCGTACTTGTAAGAAACAAAATCAGAGCCATTCAGTTGTTTCTGTGGCAAGGAATTAGTAGTTAAAAACAAACATATAGTTTTCTGGGGCTAATATTTCTAGTGAAAAACAAATTCGAAACCTACTTTGGTTAAACTGAATTTTGAATAGAGTCAAGTATGATCAAAGATGTAACTCTGTAGAAACTCTTTACCGGTTTTGTTGGTCGTGTTTTGGAGGTTTTTTGTCTGACGTTTCGTCTGCGACTGTGGTAGTCATCAACAAAGGTGACAAGGCGAAGGACAAATTGAGCTACAGAAACATAGGATATTTTTCAGAGTAGATGTGAACTGTAAAAACTCTTTCAACCGAAGTGATCGACCTACAGAAATCCTGGGCTAGGATTTGAAGACCCAGATGGAGACTGACCAATCACAAACAGTGCATGCGATAGCGGATGAAATGGGCATTAGCTCCCATGCGGTTTTTGATGGTTTGAAACGTATTGGAAAGATCAAAAAGCTCGAAAAGTGGTGCCCCACGATTCGAACGATCGGAAGAAATTGTCACGTTTCGAGTTCTGTTCTTCTTTGCGATTCATTTTTGGATCGGATCATCACGTGTGTTGAAAAGTGGATCCTATACGACAACACGAGACGTTCAGGACATTGGTTGGACACCGATGAGCTACCCAGGCACCAAATTGGTTCAATCTACATCTCCATCAATGTTAAGGATTTTTTTTTCAAACCAATAGCTACTTAAAATGAAACCAAATCTTACCAGCAGCATCCAGAACATCTTTGTCCAACTTCAAATGTGATGCCCAGAATAATGCATCTACTCCCTTCACTTTCTTTAAGATATCTTCTTTGGACTCATTTTCGACTTTCGTAAGTTGCACCCTACAAAAAATGTTATTTCTAGAGAATATATCTTCTGGGAATTCTTTAAAATATTTACAGAAGAGCCAATCAATGTGTTTTTCATTGTCAGTCAATAGACGATAATTTTTAATTTTTTGCTTCAGATTTCTAGATTGTGTGCTTCCAAATTGTGTGAATATGTTTGAGAATGAAGATTGATTTAATGCATATGTCAGTAATGACATATGCACTCAACGCACTCATTGAGTAATGAGGATTCTCATTACTTTCCATGGACTTTGAGGAGGTAGTATCTTGAACTCCAGCAACGATAAAAAGGCACTCTCAACTAATCCTGCAATATGCAATATTCGTACTCACCCTTTTTCGACTAAGAGATCCAAACCCGCTCGTGGGACCGAAGGACCAGCAACAAAAACTTTCGGGGAATTCATGACGTTAGTCTGTCGTGCTTTTGCAACTGCGCTCGCAAAACTAATAACGAAAAATAGATGTAAACCTAGAATTATACGATACATTGTGCGGAATCTTTATCTTATCTTCAATTAAAGTCAAGTATTATACAATATAATGGGTTATCACGTATACCATGCGGTTTGGTGACTATACGTTTATGGTTAAGCGGATCAACTGTNTGAACAATTTATCAACACCTATTTTTCTGAAAATGTATTGATTTCCAATATTGGAACAAATGAATACACTGGAAACTACTGGTGTAGGTAACCTATAAGCCAACAACAAAACCTGCAATTAGTGTATTTATATCTATTCTGGCTGATAATAATAATTTCTGTGAGTCAATGGTAGTTGCATATTAGACAGCGTGGAATAGAAGTAATGAAAATGCAAACCATTTGTTGAATGGTTTGAAATCCATTTCGTGAACAATTTATCAACACCTATTTTTCTGAAAATGTATTGATTTCCAATATTGGAACAAATGAATACACTGGAAACTACTGGTGTAGGTAACCTATAAGCCAACAACAAAACCTGCAATTAGTGTATTTATATCTATTCTGGCTGATAATAATAATTTCTGTGAGTCAATGGTAGTTGCATATTAGACAGCGTGGAATAGAAGTAATGAAAATGCAAACCATTTGTTGAATGGTTTGAAATCCATTTCGTGAACAATTTATCAACACCTATTTTTCTGAAAATGTATTGATTTCCAATATTGGAACAAATGAATACACTGGAAACTACTGGTGTAGGTAACCTATAAGCCAACAACAAAACCTGCAATTAGTGTATTTATATCTATTCTGGCTGATAATAATAATTTCTGTGAGTCAATGGTAGTTGCATATTAGACAGCGTGGAATAGAAGTAATGAAAATGCAAACCATGGAAAATTGTTATAAGTTTGTTAAAATTATGTTTTTCCAGGTAGGTTTTATAATTTGTAATTAAATAATATTCACAAAATTCCCATTTAGATTAACTCACATCTATGTTTCGGGATTTTATTTTTTTTTTCTATTCGAATTCTATACGACTATTCTGTAATGATTGGAAAAACATTCAGATTTTATTCGTTCTTTCATAGATATAGAATCATAGTAGAATCATGTCAGATATTGAAAGTCCGAACTAATGAAATTCACCATGAAACATTGTCAACCAATTTCAAACAAACGTTAATATTGTGTAGGTATATTCGTGCATAGTATTAATACATGAGAAAATTTAAATCTCAAAACAACCTCCTGCATTTGTGTACAGTCAAGATTTCTGTCGTTTTAAGGCAGTGTGATTGAGGTTAGAGTGTAGAAATCATATAATCAAAATAACATTTCAGCAGAGTGTATGATTGCATAGGAGAGTAAATCTCATCCGTTTTCAGATCTCTTTTCTCTGTGCTTATCCGATTCATTTTGGGATATCTTTAAATATAAAGTAAATGTCAATAAGATATCATTGAGAGAACTTAAAATGAATATCCTGAATATTTTCGTCCTACTTTACAGCATTTGTGTTGTTTTGTAATATATTTCGTTGGAAATATCATTACTTACCTACGTTTATCCGCTCTAAAAATTATGCAATTTGTTTTTTATGTCGCCACGAGTTTATTGGTATGAAAATACTGCCCAGAGAAGCCATGCTTGTCCAAATTTCGCAAATTTTCTCAATAAAAATAGTTGCCTCAAATGTCGCAAATATAATTTTATTCAGAATTGGATAATTCACGAAATCATCAAAAACATCAATTTAGATACATGCAGTGCCCTCTCTGCTTATGTGAAACAATTAAACATGCATTGTTGCATGTATATTGTTTGACAGAAACAACGTTGCCGTGAATAGTTAAGAGATACTGTCACCGTCTAAGCTGTCACGAGCCTTAGAATACGATCTATGTGATCTGCTTTCACAAACGAACAAATCTCTAGTCTTGGTGCGTACCTGTTCACAGTACGAAAATGTTTTAATTTTTTGTCATTTCTTTATTTTTTGTTTAAATAAATTAAAAAAAGCTCAAAAGCATGAACTACCAAGGGATGTGAAGATATGGTTTTCAAGTGAAATTGAATGTATGAGAGTTTGAATATTTCATATTTATTAGATCAATATGGCTTTAATGATAATAACTAAAAATTAGCTTATCTATAAGGTAAATTTGGAATACTCTCACCTTTAAATTTTTTCTATATAGAGGCAACCTCCAATTATATTTGTTGCACGATCAGTGACCTACATTAGAACTAAAAAATTCACGTGATTGATATATTTACAAACACAATTATAAGGAAGGAACAAGATGGTTCTTTTATCAACTTCATTTCATGTTGCATAATGCAGAGGCGTACTCAGGCTGCGGACCCTCAACTTGAATTCCAAATAGTAAAAAGAGTATTTTTTGGTATATACTTGAGAAATCTATCTACCGTTGTGATAAATCGAAAGTACTGCCAATCTCTCCACGATTCTTAAAGTCAATATCAATTCATGTTCAATAAAATCATTAAGGGTACTAGACCACAGGTGCCTTATGTCACAAGCAGATAGGAGGACAAGAACATTCGAAAATCCTAACAAATTGAAAGGTTAATCAAGTTATTTGTTTAAAATTAATAAGTAATTGATGAGTGGAGCAGATAAAATACCGATTTTTTTAACTTCAATATGATACTGGTTTCCGTAAATCTACAGAAATAACAGCAGTATAAATGCAGAATGAAGCATTGTAAGCTCATTGCGACCTTCAAACAGTAATTTATGACCTAAACACATGATTTTATTCTCAGTTTTCTGTACACTTTGTCCTCTCAATTGCTGACATTGGAGACATTACTGAATCTAGTGATAATGTTTAATAAAACAATTTTTTGATAAAAATGTACAAAATGAAACATTGGATAATTCTGATGATTTTCCTTTAGTTCTAAAGATTAACCTTGAACTTTGTTAAGTGTTAAATTCCTTTTTCATCCTGAAGGCCTATTCAGGAGGTATTAGGAACCCATTGAACAGTCATTTCTGAGAGATGAAATCTCTGGAACCTTCCTTCGCACATCTCCAAGCCATTATGTTCAAACTGATGTTGGAGTATGCATTTGCAAAATAAACGTTTAGTAAACCAAACCTATCCAATGTTTCTACTATTTGATTGAATAATAAGCCAAATTAAGTTTACTGCACACTTTTTGTGTGTGACTAATTCAGGTGAGATTTTCATCTGAAATAGTTCCTAGAAAATTTACTTCTTTGGATATTTTGATGTCATTCAAAGTGAATTACATTACAGATGATTTCACCAATCACTAAATTCGTCAATAATTAAATTCACTTTCACTGATAACTCATTCTTGTTTCTCCCAGAAACATTGATTGTAGTATCATGTGACAATCTGATATTAATTCAGGCAAGTCATTGATAAGAATCAAGAATGACAATGGACTCAAAACAGATCCTTGTGGAACACCTAGTTTCACATCATTAGGAATTGATGTAATTCTATTAGATCTAACCACCAAACTATGGTTTTCCATGTATGATTCCATTCAACACAACACATTATTGGGAATGTCCATTACTAGTAAGTTTTTCAAAATAAATGGATAGAAACAATGTCGAATGTTTTTTTAGGTCCAATAAAAGTTAAAAACGAGGTTGTTATTATCCAAAATCACAAGTTGTTAGAAAGTTGTTTAAATAAACTGTCGTATTGACCTCTCGCTCTCCAGCGCCCTCTAACGGCCCCGCCTATAGTGACCATCATTGAAAACACTTTTCAATAGACCCATAGTGATGTCTTATCATTGACATTGATAAGGATAACTTGCAAAAATAAAGTCACATAAAAAAGTAAAAAAATAATTTATTAAATTTCATCTTAAATTTATTCAACAGTGTAAAAAACGGGTAATATGACTACAACCTAAAACAAGCTCCTAATCTTAGTATGTTGTGATTCACTCAGCATCACACTTGTATCACATTCGAGGTTTTTTTTTTTAAACAATATCGAATATTTGAAACATCAAATCCGAATTTAAAAATCCAACTGAACCAAGATTAAGTTTACAATTAAGATGTTCTTAAATACCAGATGTCTACTAAAAACCAGCATGTAATCATAGAACAGAGAATAAATTTCTCCAATGGTAAAAACTTTCATAATATTTCAAATTTCTTCGCTGTCTATCAAAAAAGTTATCCAACAGAAGAAAATCTGATATCTTTCCACTCGTAAAATCTAAAATTCGTATGAATCCGGTTATTTTTCAAATATGTTCTCACTGTGTCTCGACAGTTAACCATCCCACTGATTTTTAATTGTCGATCGACTACATAGATGTCAATATAATAACAAATTACTGTGTGAAAGATATTTTCCGGAATTTTCGGCCGTAGTCTGCAGGTTTTCGTGACTAACGTTTCGTCTACTACTGCGGTATATATTATCAAAGGCGATGATGTCGAAGTGCTTGAGTTGTTCTTCCCAAGAAATTACGGAGTCAAATGCTAACCTATCATTTGATAATGACGCAGTCGTAGACGAAACGTCAGGCATAAACACCTGCAGATTACGGCCAAAAAACTCGAAAAACGGCTCCTTCAAACAGTTATCTATGGGCGTGAAAGTTCACATTTTGTGGACAAAAAATAAGTTGAAATATCCTGGGTTATTTGATATGTTAACTTTCACTTCTAATGCACTGTTTGGAACCTCTGGTGTAGTAATGAATATTATTGGAGTCTTATCCCAGCACCAAACCGTTATTTTAACACCTAGACACGTGTTTGATCACCAAGTGATCATCTTTAAGAGGAAGATCAAACCGAGGAAGATTATCACTTGGTGATCACTTTAATCTTCCTCTTGAAGATGATCACTCGGTGACCGAAACACGTGTCGAGGTATTGAAAAAACGGTTTGGTTTTGGGATAAGACTCCAGTAATATTCATGTTAACTTTCACTTTGAATACATGAATATAGCATAGTTTTTGTAACTATTGAACTTTTAGAAATAATTCTTTTGAATCACACCATACCCAAAAGCTTTGCTGGAGATACTAATTAATGAAAACAATTGTGTAACAGCCAACTAGCGATAACTTCAAAAGTATATAAAACTACTGTAAAAAATAGTTATATTATGACACTTCAAACGGCAGGTACATTTTTTTTCTTCTTCATTTCAGCTCAAATTGTTACAGGAGACATTTGTATGCACTGTTCAAACTAATCAAAGGTAAAAAATTGACATGGTGACCACGTGCACGTGAGCACATAGTGAACAAAAATTTATAAGTTAATAACAACAATTTCTTCTTCAAAACTCTTGGCTGTTTCATTACTGGGAATGAAGAAATGATTTATTGATTAAAAAATTATAAGAAAGTTGAAATAACGTCCAATAATAAATTAGGAGAATATAAAATGCTGGTTGAAGCAAAATTTGAAAATATAATAGAACTGATTGATACTTGATGAAAATCCATTATTAAATATTATTGAAATACTTCAATGTGAAGTTTCCACTTGAAAGTTTATAAAACCGCGACGTGTTTCGCTACACAACAGCATCTTCAGGAGTCACAATATGCTTCATTCCACAGGGAGTTCTGGCAAGACTCCATTGGTCCTCAATGCCACATCAACTTACGAATACATCGAACGGACATGCAGGTGCTGTGGAATAGCCACATGCAAATGTGGCCCACGGCGGGCGAAAATATGAATTCTCGCCTACTGTAGTCTCAACAAACGTTTTCGTAAAGAAAATCCTGAGCAGAGTAATGTTCAGCTAAGAATGCTTGAAAGCCCAACACTATTACAGATATCAGGATGTCAATCTTGACTCTTGGCATTGAGAATATGTGCTTAAAATTTCGGCACAGTGGTAGTGAGCCTCTCACAATGGAAAGGTTGAGGCAATTGAGCTAAATGAAGTTGGGATGATTCTGCAACGTTACATGGCTGACGGACTGCGAATAGCTTTGATGAAGTTATGATTATTTCACTGTGTAAGTTATAAATGTATAAGTAATTGAGTTTGTAAATAATTAGATTTGTAAAAAAATGTACCAAAACCTACGAATTTATCCACTCATTTCTTCATCCCCATGTTCACGAAAGCCATTCTCAAATAACCAAGACTGTTTTCATAGCATAGACCAACTTTCTCTAAAACTTTCGGAATGTCAATTTTTCACAATACAGTTTCTAAAACTTCAAAAAAAAGTAATTTTCACAATACTGCAACAGGTCACATTCACATACATTGATCAAAAATAAAATCTTAAAGTATACTTATAAAAATGGTAACACTGAACAAGTTCCTGAGATTCAAAAGGACAAAAGCCTGATCCTATCTAGCTAGATTTTTTCGACTTCATCATCTCGTACAGCTCAGATCTGTCGAGTAGCTTATCTAGTTCTACGTTTGAGTAACCCAATCCCTCAAATGTATCACTTTCGTTTTTCAAGAGCTGCTGAAGTTCTTTAAGTTCGCTCTCAGCTTTGTTCTTGTCGTCTGCTTTCAACTTCCTGAATTTTCCTAAAAAAAGGTGAACGATTGTTTTCAATGATGAAAAGTAGTGTATATGGAATTTAATACACTGAAACATAAATCTCGAGCAGGTTGACTGAAAAAATTCACAAGTTACTTTTTCTCAAACATTATAACCGTTTGTTTAATGAAATAAGATCAATTGACAGTATGAAGCCTGTAGAATATGCAGACGTCGAATTGACTATTTTTTTTCCTGGAGTGCCTGTTGGATACTGATAATTCACTCATCTGTTTAATAAACTGTCCAGTACAACAGAAGATAAAGCAACTGTTATTATTGAAATACTTCAATGTGAAGTTTCCACTTGAAAGTTTATAAAACCGCGACGTGTTTCGCTACACAACAGCATCTTCAGGAGTCACAATAATGAAGATGCTATCGTATAGCGAAACACGTGTCGCGGTTTTGTAAACATTCAAGTGGAAATCTCTCATTGAAGTGTTGAAAATTAATATATCTGAAATGAGTCACAAAATCAATGACAAATAAAATTCAAGTCCATGATTCCTGAGGCTATGTTCAATGCTATGTTGGCACCACTGAGGCAAGGATAATCCCTCGTTGATGAGCCTTATTAAGGCCCTTGCGATGTAAGCCAGCGTAGGGAGAGTCCTACGGTGTATGAAATGTCAGGAATAACCCACAGGGAGTACTGGCAAGACTCCATTGGTCGTCAATGCCGCATCAACCCACGAATACATCGAACGGACATGCAGGTGCTGTGGAAAAACCACATGCAAATGTGGCCCACGGCGGGCGAAAATATGAATTCTCGCCTACTGTACTCTCAACAAACGTTTTCGTAAAGAAAATCCTGAGCAGAGTAATGTTTAGCTAAGAATGGTTGAAAGCTCAACACTATTACAGATATCAGGATGTCAATTCTTGACTCTTGGCATTGAGAATATGTGCTTAAAATTCCAAATTCAAATCACTGCTATACATGAATGACACTGTTATTAGAACGTGGCACTAAGATCGTTTATGTCTCATACATAGGTATAGCGGTGAATCGGCACAGTGGTAATGAGCCCCTCACAATCGAAAGATCAAGGCAATTTATCTAGTTGAAGTTGGGATGATACTGCAACGTTACATAGCTGACGGACTGCGAATAGCTTTGATGAAATTATGATTATTTCACTGTGTAACTTATAAATGTATAAGTAATTGAGTTTGTAAATAATTNTATTGAACAGATTGCTTGAATTTCATTAGAATTAGATACAATTCTGGATAATGGTGAGTATTTCCCATAATTTCATCTATGGAAATCAATTGCAAACGTCTGAGTATTTCGAGTTAGTCTGGCCGGAACATGTAGACCAATTATTGACAAGAGATATGGATAATCAACGTGATACTTCAAAATCTTATGTAGAAATATGATGTCTGCATAAACTCTACGAGTACTCAGTTTCACTATTTCTGTTATAGTGCGAACTTCTGTCAAAGAAAGAAACCTAACCAAAGAATAATAAAGGATTCTGATGGAATTAACATTAGTGAATTTTCCAAGAGACCTTGTATATTGCAAAGCACAGAATAAAAATGTCCAATTCTACTAATTTATGAAATAGAAATTTTGTTTGTATTACCGTCTTTGATCACCAGTTTTTCCAGAAGTCTTTTCTGATACCCCAACGTTATAACTTGTTCATCGACAGTATTTCTGGTTATGAGAGTATAAACCATAACAGGTTTTGTTTGTCCTATTCGGTGACAACGGTCTTGAGCTTGAATATCCACTTGTGGATTCTGAAACGTAAACATGACTTAGATAAAAACACCCTCAAAATTTTCAAGTCATAGGTTCTCACACAAAAAACAGTTGAAAGAATCACAACATGTATTTTACAGTAGCTCTCTGGACGTTCATTATATAACTATCAAACTCACCCAGTCTCTGTCGAAAAATATAACAGTATCTGCACCAACTAAATTCAAACCGAGACCCCCTGCTCTTGTAGATATAAGAAAAGCAAACACTTTCGGGTCATCATTGAATTCAGATATGCACTCACTTCGTTTTTCCAATGAGTGACCACCGTCCAGCCTGCAGTAAGTGTGACCACGCATCAACATATAGTCTTCTATCAGATCCAAGGTCATTACCAGTGTGCTGAAAATTAGTACCTGAAACACAATGTAGTGTGCAGAAGGAGCTACTTGCAATATTTGAAGAATGGGAGAAATCCAACAAAATCAAAATTGCTATTTCAGCTTATAATTTGCTCTATTGCAGGTGAAGATTCCTATTTAAAATTTAAGTAAAAAAGTGGGGACTACCTCAATAAATCAATCAAACTCCTTTGATATTCCTGGATTCAGTTCTTTGTTAATCTCATAGATGGCGTCTTCGTAAGGGGTGATATCGTCGACCCAACTTACTCAGGCTTGTCCACCTCTAGTTTTCAATAGATCACCTTATCAATAGTGCAAAGAAAAAAGTTTTCTACTCATAAATTGTCAAAAAATGTCAGTGACACGACTTGGAATTAATGAGATATTTTCCTTGAGCTGGATTACAAACTCTCTTTTAACATACAAGTTGATGCTTGTTAAAAACTCAACAAGTTATACTTTGCATTCATTACTCTCAAATCAAACTTTGACAGGCACAATTTGATATATTTTTATCATTCATGATAATAAAGAATAAACCACAGCATATGAATATGATCTCTGATATTCGGGAAGATAACTTGAAGGACAAACAGTTCAAATGGTGCCAAATGTTGCGTGTTTTTACTCAGTAAAGACACACCCTCAGTGCATAACTCTTCAACAGATTTATCATATTCTAAATTGAACCTTTTTTTCCCTAAATATCACTAATGTTGATTACTCTCTAAAAATAGTTTATGCTTTTACAATTATTTCTAGAACTAGTGAAATAACTCCAAATTGACTCCAAATTAACTCCAAATTGAAATAACTCCAAAAATAGTTTATGGTGTCACAATTATTTCTAGAACTATTGAAATAACTATGAAAATCAATTACCTTGTGTCCTTTCTTCTTCAACTTTGCCAGCATTTCATCCAATACTATCATCTTACCACTTTGTAATACCAAATCTTCATCAACCAGCAGTTCCTTCTTCTTGGATTTTGGATCTAACGGAAAATGTACCAAGTAAGGATGATCGACTATCTTCCTGAACATCATCATGGTATTTTGCATCGTCAGCCTGCTAATGAAGGGGGCACGACTTCTGTCAATTGTTGAGCCAATCAGTTTCTCTTCCTTCTGGATCAATTCCTCGTCATAATCTAAAATGTCATCGTTTTCAGTAGGCACTTCATACGTGAAATTAACCTTTTGAGAACACTTCCGTTTCTTCCTTGGTTGGTCCAGTATCTGGAATGTTATTCAATATATCAGACACGTTCATGTTCAAAACACAATCATTTTTCTTAGCTTTGTCAACAAAATTGAATCTTCAGACTATCAAGTATATTTTCTATTATCGAGTGTTAAGTAAAAGACAACTTACATTGTCCACTTGTTCTTCTTCATCATCTTTACCTTGCAATTTAGCTATATTACGCTCAATCACGAAAGAATACATATCTTTCTGCAGTTTTGACATAGGACAGAAAACATTCAATTCTTTCTTAGGCACCATATCTGGCAGCACGTCTTTTTTCAACCGTCTCAGCATAAATGGTTTGAGTACTCTGTGTAACGTTGAAATGATATTGTTTTTCTCTTCTTGTTCTAAAAGTTTATTCTCATCCTGAAATACAACAAAAATTAAAACTGACAACGTTTTTATTCTTGAAAGTAATGTGATTTCTACATAACAAGGGAATTTTCAATAATAACCTACCTGAACGTCTTCCAACATTATTAATGAAGCAAATGTGTCCATGTCTTTAAATATATGAGGCATCAGAAAATTTAACAAAGCCCAGAGCTCGGAGATATTATTCTGCAGAGGAGTACCAGTTAGTAAAAGTCTATTCCCAGATGTGAAAGATCTCAGAATTCTACAAATGACACAAAAGCAAAGTCAGAAAAAACAACAGCAGATAACTACATATGATTGCAAAAATACCTTATAAATAAATCAAAGGGTGGGATAAAACTGTAGCAAAACTTGAATCGAGCAGAATTGAATGCAATTTCATATATTTAAACCTCTCATCAATTATGTGAATACCAGGATTGATAGTAGACAGGATAGAAGAGGATATATGAAGTAGGTATATATGTAGATAATTTTTAGCCATAATTCGGTAGTACTACTGTGCGTCGACGGTCAAGAAATAACGCAGAAACACCTTCAGATTTAGTTTAAACAACGACAAACACTTCCCTGAAGTGGTCTCAGGTTTGCGCTTGTTGTCCGAAGTGAGCAAACGCGGCACCCATCAGGCCAACAGCTTTCCCATGCCCACCATTGCATGCAGGATATGACTCACACGGTCTGTTGAGATGCCTACTGTCAGCGCTCTTTGATTTAGCTGCGGGATTTCCCTTTCAAAAACAAGAATGGAATCACCAACCGATATTGCTCTTTTTCCATCTTTATAAAATCCGTGGACTAGCTTACTTCCAGAGGCGGTCAAAGCGAGTCCGATTCGTCTGAAATTTTGACTGTAGCCGTCTACGATAGTGGCGCCATCTGGCGGTAGGGCTAAGTACTTATTGGACCGCCCTCGTAAAATTCAGTCGATTCTGATGATGCTAACTTGGTTAGTAAAACGGATGTAGACTGAACTTTATTTGTTCTAGTGTATAAAAAGTGACTTTTTCAGATTATTTTTTCGCCGGAGGTTCTAATTTTACTCGTCAAGATAAATATTTATACATTTATATCAGTGATCTCAATTTTATATAATAAATAATGATCGAGAAAAGGTTATCAATAAGATCCAAGAGCACTTACCTTGAAAGTTTAGACTCATGATTTTTCACCCTATGCCCTTCGTCTATGATAATATACTGCCATTCAAAATAACTCATGAATTTTGATTCCATGAGCGGTACTTGATAGGATGTCAGCACCACAGGTTGAGTTCTGAAATTATCAATGTAGTATTCCTTCTTCAACTTATTATAGGTTGAAAAACGTTCAGTTTTTGATCCATGAAACACGACAACGGGAATTTTCGGTGCGAATTTGGCAAACTCGGCTTCCCAATTTGGAAGTGTAGAAAGCGGAACCACAATGAGAAACGGTCCTTTGATGTTTCTCTCTAATAAATGGCAGATTAATGCTATTACTTGTATGGTTTTCCCTAAACCCATTTCATCGGCGAGTATTCCATTGACACCGTTATCGAACAGAACCTGAAAATATGTTTTTATTCAATGTCACTGGGCAAACTCAATATACAATTTATAAAATTTTTGGCTATCGACCAAAGTCCTTCTATACAGATATATAAGCATTTTTTAAGAAATAAAATACTACAAGTGTAAGATTGTAAAGTAGTCCAATAGAAAAACTTGGATTTTACTACCCCCATGTGGCAAGTAGCTATAGTTGGCTCAGTTGTAATTTTTCTTGTTAACACATAATCTATCAACTGAAACCACAAATGTGCGGCTGGCAGCTACGTGCATTTGTATTTCTTTTGGTAACCAAGTGTTGCCCGTCCTTGTACTTTGCTGCACCATACTGATGATGGGCCAAGAGTCCAAAACACGTATATTGTTTACCCCTTTCTTGAGTGCTACACTCAATAACCTTCATATATTGGCACACATTTCAAATGATTAAACTTTGTGCACTTATAAAATATGTTTTAATAGTTTTTCACCATATCAACAAAAATGAATACCCAACAACAAAAGGGAAAGATGGAAAAATACCGATATTTCACACTTACTTTCATCCACTGTACTCCATCTATTTGATACTGACGCAAAGTACCTCCCTCGAAAAATCTTGGCTTTTTTATTACATCTGCCAAACCTATAAAAAAGAAAGTTTCTATTGTTCGTGTTCGATCGAATACTTTTATAATTACCCTCCCCACTATATTTTTGTTTGTCACTATCTTTTTGGTTGTCAATATCAACAGCTTCCATCATATCATTGACAGTAGGCTGAAGTTTGTTTCTCTCTTGTAGAGGTTTTATGGTACTGAAAAGTAACAACGGTTTGTTATTGAAAAACTCCTAATATCTGCTTTTACATATTCATTTATTCCAAAGATGCTTTTCGAACAACGCCATATTTTTGTCTCACCAAAGAGGGTTTCCAAAAAGATCTTGCTATTATTTTGAATCTAGAATGATAGTTTTCGAAAGAAAGTAGATTTCTGAAAAAAAAAACTCACGTTTTTTTAGGATCAACAACGATCTTTTCTTTGAAGAAATCCGAGTATTTCTCACTGATGCTCAGCAGGTAAGTCATACCCTTCAAAGCCTTCTTTTTTCTTTTCTCTAGTGCTTTTTCCTCAGCAATTTTCTTAGCTTCCAATTTCATTTGAAGCCTTTCATTGGCTTTGGCTTGATATTCTTCTCTAGCAATTCTTTTCTCTTCTATTATTTTCAATCGTTCTTCTTCGGCAATGGCTTTTTCTTCCATTCTTTTCTGTTTCAACATTTCCATCTTCTCCAGAAGTTCTTGTTTGGCTTTTTGTTTCTCCTCCTTTATTCTTTTTCGTTCTTCTTCAGCTAATCTTTTTTCTTCGGCTTTTCTTTTTCGGTTTTCATCAGCTATTCTTTTTTCTTCCAGTTTGAGCAGACGATGAAATTCTTTCTCACGGAGTTTTTCTTCTTTCGTCATACCGTCTTCAGCTTTTTTTTTGGATTTCACTTGTGAGAGTTTCTTTACTTCCCTCTTTATTTCAATTGTCTCAATATCTGGATGATTCATGATCATATCATTACTTTCGTCAGATCCTGCCATGTCACTGAAATGTAAAAAATCAAGTTAATAGAGGCAATAGTGCAATAGTGTGCAATTAAATTTTCGCCACCCAGTATTTCCTATATCATTATTAATTATACTGGGCCCAAATAAATGAAATGTTTTAAAATATCAAATAACAAGTTGAGCACCTAATATTTTTTCAATATAATTATAAGTAAAATACA